TGAAAAGCTTCATTAAACTCAATCAGATTAATTTGTTCTTTCAGAGTCTCGTTAACTGTTCGATAAGAAACCCGCTGCCTCAGCTTCCCTCCTCTTCCTCACTGTTAATGGATCTGAATTCACCTCCTGCTAAGGTCAAAGGTCCTCCTCTTCCTCCTCTTTCCTTTTCCTCTTCCTCTGCTCCCCCCTCATTCTCTTCCTTCTTCTTTTCCTTCTTATCCTCCAGCTTATACCTCTCCCTCTCTTCCTCTCCTCCTTTGATGTTTCCCTTCCCTTCTTTTCATTCCTATTTCTCCTCCTCCATTATCACTTTCCTTCCTCTCTCCTCTTCCTTCTGTTATCCTTCCTTCCTCCTCCTCCAACTTCCTTTTTCCGTTCCTCTCTGTTTTACTTCATTCTCATCCCCCACCCTCCTCTTCTTTTTCTCCATCTCTCATTTTCCTTCTTATCCTCCAGCTTATATCCCTCCCTCCCTCTCCTCCTCTTCCTTTTTCCTTCCTGTCTTCTTCCTCATTCTCTCCCTCCACCTCCTCCCTCCCCTTTCCCCTCCTGAGGACGAGGAAATGAGAGAAAGTGAAAGAAAAGAGAGGAGGAAGCTCAATGGAATGAGAACGAGGAGAGCCGGGGGGGAGGATCGGTTGACATTAGAAGAAAAGGAGGGATGATGATGAAGAGGGATGAGGAGGAGAGGAAACAAGCAGAGGAGGAGGAGGAAGAATTTAAAATTAGAGGAAAAAGAAAACTGATGATGACGGAGGAGAGAATTTAAGCCGAAGGGAGGAGGAGGAAGAGGAGGAGGTGCAGAAGTTAAACAGATGGGATTATGAAAACAGAAACGCAGCGGGAGTCAGGAAGAGGAAGAGGAGGAGGAAGTCTAATATTTATGTAGTGTGTGTCTCTAATTAAGCATGTGATCATTAGCAGGATGGAACATCGACGGATTCACTGCACGTTCGTCTTCTGCTCTTTATTATCTACACGACGACAAAAACACTAACTCCATAACGACAATTTTCCCCACATCTGTGCGTCGTCTCTGCCGCCATTTCCCTCGTTTTCCTCTCCGTCTGTTGCTTCCCGCCGCGCCGGGAGTTCATCTTCCAGTCAAAGCGTCTCCCCAGACGCCACGCCAACAGACTCCCCCTCGCCTCGCTCTGCCCGTCGGAAACAAAGATGGAGGCTCAGTGTTCAGTTTGATGTTTTCTTGTTGGATTATCAGAGGAAATCCACATTAAAAGGACAAAAAAGGAAATGTTGTAATCTGAGTATGACTCACTCATGAGTGCGATTTACAGAAGGACCTGTACTTGTTTAGCGCCTTTCTAGTCTTCTGACCACTCAAATCGCTTTTTTAACATTCACCCTTTCACACACATTCACACAGACCACTGAACAGAAACTAACACATTCACACACCGATGCATCGGGAGCAATTGGAGGTTCAGTATCTTGCTCAAGGATACTTCGATATCGCCGGGGATCGAACCCACAACCTTCCGATTAGGAAAGACCCGCTCTGCCTCTGCACCACAGCCGCCCTATCATTATTGTTGTTGTTGTTATTGTTGTTGTCGTCGTCGTCGTTGCAGGGTGATTATGATCCCCTAAATGTTCACATCTTAATCACATTTACATAACATTTTACACTTCAAAGACACCTTATGGTTTCATCATGAACCAGGGCACGTCTTCTGGAGACACATTATGTTCCAAGGGGCCCCCAGTGGTCCACTCGAACTGTAAACACTTACACTGGAAGTGTTGACGGGTCTGGACTAGCTCATGTTTAAAACACGAAGGGGTCTGAGGGCCCCTCAAGTGTTGGTCCATGTGTGACCTGCAGTCCGAGGCCCCGAGGTCCATAATCCTCAGCTTTGATCATAAAATAATCAAATTCAAAGAAGAAAGAAAAGAAAGAATTTAGCATCATAGTTTTAGACCTCGGTCAGACTCAAAATGGTTGCATTAAAAAAAATACAGTAGCTGTAGTTTGACACTGGAAAGTTAGCCTCTTTGAGCCGCTAGCTCAGATAACGTAACAACACAAGTAGCACACAGAAACTCACACAAACAGCGTGAATCTGCTCCTAGTGACTGTCCAGGTTGTTTGTTGTTAAGGTTGGTTAGCTCTGACTACCGGCAGCTGTATTTCTGCCGCTTGGAGCATCAAACACTACAGATTTTAGTGGTTTAGTTAAACTTTAAAAACACTTTATTCCACTTTAATGCAAATATTAATTTAAAGTATTCCAGATTAATGTAAAGAAATTTATAAAAACACACATGAGCAGTTGGATTTTAAACTTACCAAAATTAAATGCAGCCAGATTTGTTTAATTCTCCCTCTTGAATTAAATTTTTTTAATTAAAATGGGATCTGGATCTTCCTCATTATTTGCTCCCTTTGTTTAATCTCGGCTCATTGTTAAGGTGGCCTTTATTAATGTGCCTTTGCAGCTGGTTCAGGTCGTGTGTTAAACATACGGGGGACGTTGTAATTGCACCGTAACGTTCACACAGGAACCTTAAAGGGGAACTTGGCAACTCTAGCCATTTCTTCGCTGGTTTTCATTTTTGTCATCGCATGTTT